GACAGTGATTCAAATGACAGATTTCTCAGTGGAAATCATGGAGGCCAGAGGAAATGTCTTACCATTTTTAAAGTGCTGAAATAAAAGTGCAGAGTCCAGGATTCATTGATAATATCCTTGAATGTGAAATGAAGATCTTCTCATATCAAGTAAAACCAAGAGAATTTGGAGTCAACAGACTTGCTATAAAATAACTAGGTAAGGAAATTTCTTAGACTGATGGGAACTGATATGAGAAATTTGGAATATTAAGAACAGAGGAAATGGTAAATATAATAGGCTGTTCTTCTCTTCTTGAATTATTTAAAATATGGTTCATGATTGAAATCAAAGTAAAACCTTGTCTGATAGGAATTTTATAAAAAGAAATATAGACACACACATCACAATTGATGAATTAAAATGAACACTAAAAAAAGCAAAGGAAGGAAGGAAAAACAAGGAACAGAAACAGAAGAATAAAAAACAGTGGAAACAAATACATTGAGAAACCTTCATATAATACAAACATCAGTTATTAAGTTAAATGTAAATGGTCTAAACAAACCAACTAAAAGAGTCTGTCAGATTGGATTTAAACAGCAAGGAGATATAACAATTATAAACGTATACAAATAAAACTTCAAAATACAGAAGCAAAACCTGACAGAACTAAAGGAGAAATATACAAATTCACAGATATAATTGAGAGACCCAGCATTTCTCTCTAGGTAATACTAGTAGAAAGAAAATCAAGAGTATAGAAGAATTGAACCATCAACAACTAGATCTAATAAACAGTTATATAACACTCCATTAAATGCTAATTGACTAAAATATTTCTAAATGAATATAGAAGCAATCCTTTTTAGCATATTTGCAAGTTAAGCTATGAGATGTGAAATAATGTATTTGTGTCTTGCTAATGTGAAATACAAGTTTATGTTTAGATTTTACAAAGCAGGGAAAAGTGGTAAAATATTTTCAAATCTGGAATGACTCAGTGTGAAATAAGTGAAATAATAATTTAAAAACTAGCTAACGTTATCTTAAATACTTACTCTGTGCCAAGAACTGTTCTAAACACTTTGTATAGACTAATTCATTCAGTCCTCATGAGAGGCCAATGAAGTAGTTGGTTATGGTTTAGTTCTGTAAAATGCAAATAATAATGAGATACAGAGCTCTTGAATAAATTAAGATATCAAAATTGGAAATTATGACAACAGTATCAATAATGATAAAAAATAGCTTTTCTTGACTGAATACTTTCTCTGCATTTGACACTGCCTTATGCCTTGTCTCATTTGGTTTGCACAGTAGATATTATAATCTCATTGAATAGGTGAGGAAATTGAGGCTTACTACAATGACTTGCCCCTAATAGTACATCTAAGTAAAATGTGGCAAAGCAAAATTCCAAATCATGAAATCAGTCTCTGGAACCCAAGCTCTTCATCTCTGCATTACGTTCTGAAGATACGCATTTCATCCTGGAAGAAGCTCTTGCCTAGACTGGTGGTCATCCAGTGATCGAGCAAAAGCTGTAGACTTCCATAGTGCTGCTCTTCAAAATGCAGTGACTTCCCAATCACTAAATATCCTGTCCTAGAGTAGGATAGGGCTGGGTACAAATGCTTGGAGTCCTTGATTTTAGAAAATGTGTTTTCTTGTGGCTCTTGGCCTATTTTATCCTCAGCCAAACATGGCAATGTAAGTACAGGCCAGATCAGAATTAACTAACTCTACTATTCTTTTTCATATTGGAAGGATCTATTATGAGCTACTTGACACCTAGAATATGGTTTATTTCTTCAAATTTGATTTTTTTTTTTGGATTATACTCCTAAGACCTTCAGATAATTTTCTTTTTTAAAAATATTTTTATTAGTTTTCATTATGATAAGTGTACTCTTTAATCCCTATCCCCTATTTCCCTCATCTACCCACACACCTCCCCTCTGGTAACCATCAGTTTGTTCTCTTGGTTTCTCTCATCAGTTTGTTCTCTTGGTTTTTTTTCTCTCTCTCTCTCCTTTGATCATTTGTTTCTTAAATTGCACATATGAATGAGATCATATGGTATTTGTCTTTTTCTAAATTATTTCATTTAGGATTGTACTCTGTAGCTCTATCCATATTGTTCCAAATGGCAAAATTTTCTTCTTTATGGCTGAATAATATTACATTGTGTGTGTGTGTGTGTGTGTGTGTATCTTTATCCATTCATCTCCTCTTGGATATATGGGCTGCTTCCATAGTTTGGCTATTATAAATAATGCTGCAATAAACATAGGGGTGCATGTATCCCTTTGAATTACTGTTTTTGTATTCTTTGGGTAAATACCCAGTAGTGCAATTTCTGGATCAAATGGTAGATCTATTTTTAATTTTTTAGGAGCCTCCATGCTGTTTTCCACAGTGGCTGCATCAATTTGCATTCCCACCAGTAGTGCATGAGGGTTCCTTTTTCTCCACATCTTTGCCAATACTTGTTTCTTGTGTTTTGATTTTAGCCATTCTGACAGGTGTGAGGTGATATATCATTGTAGTTTTGATTTCCATTTCCCTGATGATGAGTGATGTTGAGCATCTTTTCATGTGTCTGTTGGCCATCTGGGTATCTTTGGAGAAATATCTGTTCATGTCTTTTGCCCATTTTTAATTGGATTATTTGTTTTCTGGGTGATGAGTTATATAAGTTCTTTATATATTTTGGATACTAACCCTTTATCAGATATATCATTTTCAAATATCTTCTCCCATTCAGCAGGTTGCCTTTTAGTTTTGTTGATTGTTTCCTTCACTGTACAGAAGATTTTTATTTTGATATAGTCCCAATAGTTTCTTTTTGCTTTTATTTCCCTTGCCTCAGGTGACATAACTAGAAAAATATTGCTATGTCCAGTGTCAAAAAGATTACTGCCTGTGCTGTCTTCTAGGGTTTTTATGGTTTCAGGTCTCACATTCAGGTCTTTAATCCACTTTGAGTTTATTTTTGTGGATGATGAAAGAAAGTGGTCAATTTAATTCTTTTGCATCCACGTTTGACTTTGATTTGATACTTAATGAGTCCAATCTGTAATATGTCAAATTACCCACTTTCCTGCATAGCATTTACCACTCTGTATAATTACGTATGTATTTGTGAAGCATTCCTGTCATTCATGGGAACTCTTTGTGGGGAACACTGTTCAATCATACATTCTCAAGCTAAGGCTCTGAAGCTTGCATTTCTTGAGATTTCCCTTATAGTTTTGTCAATTTTTCTGACTTGGTACATTGGAACAAGAACAGATCTCTCACTTCTATAATGCTTTTCTCTTTAGTCAACCTTATTTTACTATAAAGTTTTAAGATATCAGGTGGAATTTTTGTTGACATGAGTATGTGTTTGTCCTTCAAAATGCACCTGTTATGCTGGAAAGGAAGATGGTAAGTTTAAAGCAGGGATTGTCCAACTTCAGTCTGCTGCATTTTTGTAAATAATGTTTTATTGGAACACAGCCACACTGATTCAGGTGTTGTCCATGTCTCCTTTGGTGCCAAAACAGCAGAATTGATAATTGTGACACACCATGTGGCCTGTAAAGTTTAAAATATTTACTAACTGGTCTAATACAGAAACTGTTTGCCTACCCTGGTTCAGACATTAAAAGGTACCAGTTATTTGATAATACTGATTAAAGATGCTGTTATTGTGGTAGTAATTTTTGGCTCTGCTTTCCCTGGATAGGACATAAGAAAGTAGTCTTTTTTTCCCCAAGTTTAACTCAGGAAACAAATATTGTATGTGTAGAAATTATGTGTATGTGTGTGTGTGTGTGTATGTATATGTATGTATGTATATTTAGGGTATACAGCATGATTTAATTATATCTGTATTATGAAATGAGTACCTCAATCAAGTTAATTAACATATCCATCACCTCACATAGTTACTATTTGTGTGTATGTGTGGAAGATCTATTCTCTTAGCAAATTTCAACTATACATGGCTATTATTGAGTACTGAGTGTTATACGCAAACAATGAATCATGGAACACTACATCAAAAACTAATGATGTACTGTATGGTGACTAACATAACATTAAAAACAAAACAAAACTCAATAAGAGATCACAAGTTTTGGTGAAGACGTGGAAGAAAGAAAGCCCTTGTGCACTATTGGTAGGAAGGTAAATTGATACAGACACATGGAGAACAATCAAAAAACTAAAACTAGAAGTATCATATGGTTCTGGGTATATATATCCTCCCAAAATGAAATCAGCATTTCCTCACTCCCTTGTTCACTACAGCATTATTCACAGTAGCCAAAATAAGGAAACAATTTAAGTGGTTACTGAGGGATGAATTAAAAAATGTGAGGTAGGGGCACCTGGGTGGCTCAGTTGGTTAAGTGACTGCCTTCGGCTCAGGTCATGATCCTGGAGTCCTGGGATTGAGTCCTGCATCGGGCTCCCTGCTCAGCAGGGTGTCTGCTTCTCCTTCTGACCCCCCTCATGTGCTCTCTCTCTCTCTCTCATTCTCGCTGTCTCAAATTAATAAATAAAATCTTTAAAAAAAAGTGAGGTATATAAACAATGGAATATGAGTTAGCCATATAAATAGGAGGAAATCCTGCCATTTGCAACAACATGGCTGAACCAGGAGGGAGGACATTACGCTGAGTGAACTAAGTCAGAGAAAGCAGTCTTATGAAACATTCTTTTCTCATCAACCTCATAGTTCCATTCATTACTAGAATTTTTCTGTAACTACTCTGATAAAAATCTGAAAAATTCAGTTTCTTAAAAATGCTTAAAAAAATATTTGTAGGCATTACCAATCAAATGTTTGGTCACTTAGTGGAAAGTGTGAGACTTTCGTCATCTTTTACACTTTGATGTACTTGGATACTGCTGAGAAGGCTAATTTATGTTCTCTCTCCTTATATTGTGTTTTCAAGGAGCCACAGAATTGTTTCCTGTAGAGAGGTGCTCTCTCATGGAGTGACTTGCTGGGTCTTCATGCAGTCATGGATATGGATAAACCATCTGTCTGGGGCTCTTTGAAACAGCGGACCAGGCCTTTGTTAATCAACCTGAGCAAGAAGAGGGTGAAAAAGAACCCCAACAAGCCCCTAGACTTACGAGCAAGGCGTTCTCTGGACCGCCGCCTCAGCCTCTCTGTCCCTGACCTCCTGGAGGCCGAGGCCTTGGCCCTGGAGGGGCGGCCTTACTCTGGGCCCCAGTCATCCTACACCTCGGTGCCCAGCAGCCTGTCGACGGCAGGGACCTTTCCCAAGAGCAGCAGTAACTCCTTGAAACAGTCTGAAGAAGAATTGGATTGGAGCCAGGAAGAAGCAGGCCACCTCCACGTGGTGGAAACAGACTCGGAGGAGGCCTATGCTTTTCCCGCCGAGGACAGGAGGCCTTCCAGCAATGGCATCTTGGATCTGCTCCAGAAAACTCCCGTTGAAGAGGATGCACTGGAAGAGCCAGAGGTGAGACCAGGGCTTGACACTTTCCTGTTCCTTTTTCTGTTTTTCTCCTTTCTAAGTGTACTCATTGCCCTTGGAAAATTTGGTTAAGAGTTATTTTTGTGGTTAGCTTAGATGGAGAGAATGTCATTTATAAGAATTTAAATTCAAGTAATATTGATTGCACCCACTGTTCCCATTCGTTTTAGGGTTGACCTTTTGCATTTTTAAAACTCTTACAAATAACCTCTCTGGGATACTCTAAGACATTAAAAGCCCTATTGGATGAGTTTTCCTTTTTCCATCTCCCTGGCAAAGAAATTAAAAGCATAACTTTTCCTCAAACATTTTGCTTTAAGTGTGTGTGTGTGTGTGTGTGTGTGTGTGTGTGTCTGTCTCCACCACTGCTCAATCCCATAGTAGACAAAAATGCATGTTAATATTCCTAAGAAATGTATGAATGTGTGTCTCCCTTTGACTGTCGGAGAGTTTGAACTTGCTCCTATGTCACATGTATGTGTGTGCATTTGTATGTGCTTTTGTACACATGTGCACATTTGCCTGTGTACAGCCTCACTTGCATTCTCTAAAAAAACAAAAAGATAGGAACTGAAGGATGCAAATTCTTATGGATTCATTGATTTTACAAAGCTTTAGTATTTCGGTAAGATAAAAGAGTCAAATACAATTATGAGACAAATCTTGTATTTCTAGAATGAATTTAATATAAAGTCAGCCCCCAGATTACTAAATCGTGGTGATTGGCTTAATCAGTTTTGTTTTGTTTTGTTTGGTTTTAATTCCCCATCAATGACACTAAAGTAGGCTGTAGTTTTGAGGGAAGAAGTTAATTTTTTTGTGGGGATTCCAGGTTATTGTTATAATTGCATACAAACCTGGGTATTCAATCAGGATTTTTGGTTTTACTTTCAGAACCAAAACCTGCCATATATTGGGGTGTCATATATTGTGTGTCATATATTTATATTTAATTGCATCATATATTTGGGTGTCATTATGGAAAGGATCATGGATATTTGGAGAATGTTGTGACTAGATTCCTTTGGAAACATGATAAGGCACCATTAACCATTAAGTGACTTAACTATCTTTTTCTTTACCATTTACCTTTATAAAGTTCTTTTTGTAACAATTTTATGGTTTTTACTATTGCTTATAAATTTAAAATATGTATTTCTACTAATCAGAATATAAATCAGGTGAATTATTAGACATTCATAATTCATAGTTCAGTGTGAAGGGGGTAATGTGTACAATTAGATACTGAAGTTAATCTTTATCTTCTTGTTACATTATTAAATGATCAGAAAAAATGGGTGGGTTTCTAGGCTTTGATAGGCTAACGCTCTCAGATTAGAATAATTTTTTTAAGATTACTTTTTAAAAATATTTTTATTTATGAGAGAGAGAATGAGAGAGAGCGAGTGTGAGCGTGGAGGGAGGAACAGAGGGAGAGGAACAAGCAGACTCCCCCACTGAATGGGGATCCCCATGCAGGGCTTGCTCCCAGGACCCTGAGATCATGACCTGAGCTGAAATCAAGAGTCATTTAACTGATTGAGCCACCCAGGTGCCCCTAGAATAATTTTTTTTTTTAAGTTAGTGCTCTGAAGTGTTTTGCTGACTTAATATTTAAATACCTACTCCAACTCAGGTACCATAAAGGTTACGACTAGAAATAGAGATGGATAGGAAAGTGACCCTGCCTTCAAGTTATGATGTATTAAGAGATGGCTTTGTATAGCTCTAAAGGCAGCATAAGAGGCAAGAAGATATTGGAATTGTCTGTGTAAAACATCTAGGCCTTGCCTCTTGGCAGCTTAGTGGATGGAGGATATCAATGCATGAGGACTGACAGGCGTTCATGTGAGGCATTGTGCAAGCTGGCGTAGATTTGATAGGTGAGAAAATATGGCGGACACAGGCCTGAAGTGTGGGTGGGGTATTTGGGGGGTGGTGAGCATTTTGCTGCACCTGACATAGAGGTTTGAGGAACTTTTTGGTGTGATGTATGCTGGGAAGTGTGCACTGTGCTGAGGGGCTGGTTGGCAGATGGATGGTTGGTAATGGTTAATTTCTCTTCTTTGGGCTAAATGCAAAAAATCTTGGAATATACAGTTATTTTAAATAATTTTCCTTTTTCACCATTTAAAAGAAAACAAACTCCTTTTTTTAAGATTTTATTTTTAAGTAATCTCTGCACTGAACTGGGGCTCAAACTCACAACCCTAAGATTAAGAATTGTGTGATTCACCGACTGAGCCAACTAGGTGTCCCTAAACTTCTTTTTCAAATATGAATCCTTTGCTTCTCTTTTCATGTCCTAGGATGTACAGGGTAGAAACAGACTGATCCATGGCCACTTGAGTGCCATGTATCTGCTTGGTTGCCTGTTTGCAGAGGTTGGAGGGACTGGGCTGCTGCTAATCAGACCTATAGGATCACATGTGGTCAAATCCATTGCTGTACCTATCTGCCTTTTAAGCTCCCTTCCACCATATTGGGTAGGCTTCTCCCACTACCTGAGGATCTAGAGTTTATTACATGGCGTAGAAGTTAGCCACTCCCTTGCTTATCTTCCCCACTAGGCTGTATAATTTGGTCTATGGGTAGGTCTAGGGGAGTCATGTCTAACTTGTCTTTGTTTTCTTAGGGCCTTGCTGTGTGCCTGACACATAGCATGTACTCAATCACTATTTGTGTATGAGGAAATCAATGATAGTAATGTGTGCATTCAGGTTAGTATAGTTTTTGTTAGTGTCTTTATTGTGAGTTCTCTTCAGTTTATGATTTCATTAAAATCAGACTTTTTTGTTTATTTGTTTGGGTTTTTTTTGAAAGAAACATACTGTAAATGAAATTTCTTTCTGTATGATATTAACTGAAAACAGGGAGATTAAGACAGGTGTAGACTTTTCAGCCCAAGTCCGATACTAACTTTAAATCTGAATGTGTTCTTCTCTGCCTTTTTTTCAATGAAGATGGAAGTCCTGGTGAATCCATGTCATGTGTGTTTTAGGGTTGGTGAATCTATATCTAGGATATGGGTCATCTTTTTTTTTTTTTTTTTTCCTAATGAATAGTGGACAGGCTACTATCACTTTCACGGGATGGGAGAAGCAATGAGGGAAGAAAGGGCTGGCATGTGACAAGCCTGGTGTACCACAAGGACAATCAGATGTTTGCTGAGTAGCCTTGGTGTAGCTGATTTTGTTTGTAGCTTTTCAGAGTGGGGAGGGGTAAAGAAAGGGTCATCTGTGGTTGGAGTACCCATTGATGTTTGTCTCACATGTTTTATGTCCAAGGGCAACTTCAAGGCTGAGCCTGCAGCAATAGGATAAGACCTCAAATAATGGTGTTGTCTGAATGTCTTCCAGTTTTTTTCCAGTCCTGCCAGGGTCAGCAATCAAGTGAGGTGTGGGCTTACAGTAATGGGGAAAAGGAATGAGAAAGCAAGGAAGAAAATTAAGAGGGAAGAGGAACAAGGGATGTGAGAACGTAGAGGCCACATGGAACCTGGAATGGTCTCAATGTAGATGCTTCAACCAGCCCTAAAACCAAAACGGAAGAAAGTAGGTTTAGAATAAAGGATGCATTTGTGAGAATAGGATTCTCCAGACTTTCTCTTGGGCCCCAGATTCATACCCTACTGGATAGTCCACAGAAACCTGATCTCAACTTGTTCTGACAGAATTTTGTCTCTCCCAAGTGCCCTCACAGATGCAGACTTGTTTCTCAGCAACATCACCGTTATTCACCTGGTGGCCCCAGTGAAGCACCTGTGAATCATGTTAGACTGTTTCCCTTTCCTTGCTTCTCATGGTCTCTGTAATCTTCATCGATCTGCCTCACATCTGTCTTCTCCCTTCTTCTCTTACGGAAATCCTCTCATCCTTCAAGGCCCAGCTGAAATTCTCCTTCCCTGTCCGGGTTTTCCCGACTATACAATCAATATCATCACCCTCCCTTTGTTTACTGAACATCCCACTTTTGCTGTCATTGAATGCTAACCTTACTTTGCTTTCTGTAGAAATCTGTAGAGGGAGAAAATGTTTGGAACAGGTAGAGGGGGTAGAGAAGGGAAGGCAAATGGGTAGTCGGCAAAGGTGTCCCTGAGTATGACTCTAAGAAGATCACCAGCCTCCAAGACCTGTATTCACTGTCCAGGGACCATCTAGCTCAGAGGACCAACTCATGATAACCAATACCCATGATACTAAGCTACAAATGACAAATTGTGACTCACTTGCAATGAAAATGAAATACTATGTAGACTCTAATATTTATTTTGGTATAAACAGCTCACTGTGTCATTGTCAAGTTATTTGGGAAGTCGAATCATAATCAGCATCAACTTCATTAAAGTGGAGCGAGCAGGGCCTGGAAATACTTTGGAGAATTCGTTGGGTGTATTGACTCCCTGAAGTTGGCCTACATGAGAAGTCACACAGAATCAGGAGATTGTTTTGTGAACACAAGGCTAATGGATAAGTTCTACACTGAATGGTGTCTGGTATGCCATCCATCTCACAATAGGGATTGAACTCCAAGTGAGAACTTGACATACTCACACTTTGTTTGCTTGGGCCGACGACGTCCATACCCACATGCTAACCTGCCTAGGCCATGAAGCCAAGATTCTTAAAGTCCTGTGGGACGGGCTCTCTCTTCCCTTCATAGGGCTCAAGGGCGAGTCCAGACTTTCACCCAGGCATGACCTCACCCTTTTTTTTGATTGACAATTATTTGATTGTGTAATTATCACTTTCAGTCAGGCCCAGAAATATGTGGCAGGCATAAGCACCTAACGTGGACTCCCTCCTATGATTATGGTTGTATTTATTAGAGTTATTATAGTTGTTTTTAATCATTACATTTCTCAGAACAAAATGAGGGCCCAGAAGTTTTAAAGACTTACCTAAGGTCGTCAAGCTAGTAAGTGTAAGAGCCAGGATCTAAATCTAGGACTGTCTGTATCCAAAGCCTGTGCACAAAACTCTGTG